CCTGAACGTCATGGAAAATGACAATGTTTTTTGTTGTTTTTCTAAGGACTTCCCACATCTGTGAAATTGATGGACAAAGAAACCCTTCTGAAGGAAAGAGAAGAGAAGAAGAAGGTAATTGCAGAATCCATCTACTTGGCAGTATACTATGATATCTCTACTTGATTTATTTGGTGTCAGTGGTGTAGGTTTTGTATCTCGTTTCACATATAGTACTGCTGGTCTGCAGTGCACCTTATTAGGTTGAAATTAGTCATTAATCAGATCAAAATGATCACTCCACCAGGGTAAGGTGATACGTTCCTTCTGTCAATGGAAAAAAAGTTCCTTAGCATATCAGGCATCACAAAAGAAATGATTCAAATGCAAACCAGGTCATGAAAAATGTATTTAGGACTTTCGAGCTTGTCAGTGTAAATGACGGTCTTTAGAATGAATTGTAAGGACTCAAGTTGCATCGGTTTATTGTTGTATCTTCTTTAAATTACTCCTTTGAGCCTCGTATGCACGCTTACTGCTCTGGACACATTCCGCAGATCAGTCATGATCCACCTGAGATGGTCACAGCAAATAGCGTTTCTAAAAAAAGGAAGGTGGTAGGGGCATCTCTGAGACTTCTCTGTTGGTTTATGAGCATCTTCATATTTGAAAATTAAAATACACTATGAACACACTACTGTTCAAAAGTTTGGACTCTGTAAGAATTTTAAAAAATATTTTAAAATACTTATTCTGCATTTACTTGATCATCACTTGTGAAATATTACAGTTTAAAATAACTTGTTTCTGTTTTAATATATTTGAATGTGTAATTTATTCCTTTGATGGCAAAGCTGAGAAACAGTTACAGTATGATATTGAAAACAGTTGTGCTGTTCAATGTTTTTGTGGAAAGCGTTATATGTTTTATTCTGGATTTTTGGAATAAATAAAAAAAAACAGCATTTATTTGAAATGGTAATCTTTTGAAACAAAAGTTTTAACTAATTTTTGATCAATTTAATGCATCCTTGCTGAATAAAAGTCATTTCTTGTAATTACTTTTTCTAGTAATTGTTTAATATTAATGTAAATTTGTAATTAATTTCCACTTATTCTTTACTGTTTCAAGATGGAAGATGAAAAGAAAAAGAAAAAAGAGGAGGCTGCCAAGAAGAAACAAGAACAAGAGGTGAATAGAACAATCACAGAAACCCCTTAACACACTTCATAATTGAGTCCCTCTTCATGTAAAAATTCTCTCATGTCTATATATATATATATATATATATATTAGGGGTGCAACAGTTCAACTTACTCACGGTTCGGTTTGTATCACGGTTTTAGAGTCACGGTTCTGGTACGGTTCGGTATGTGCCATGTTTAGGGGAAAAAACTATTGTCAAATAAAAATAATGAGGATAACAAATAATCTAACTACAAGCAACAGCACAAATAAATACAATAGATACAATAAAGATACAAAAAAAATAAACAGTGCTTTTCAGTTTTTTTTTAGGTAGGTCTAACATTAGTTTTTAGGTACAAAAATTGAATAAAGTAATCAAATGTAAATAACATTGCATATTTGACTGTATAAATTAAAGATTAATCCTTATTAAAGTTACAGAAGTTATTCAATCAAGAGCAGTGAGTGATTTCTGTGTTGTTGCTGATGCGGAGTTTTGCGCATCGTGTGTGTGTGTGTGTGTGCGCGCACGCGCGTGTGTGCGCGAGCGAGAGAGAGAGGGGGGGTCCACATCACAGTGGAGTCAGCAGTCTTAACCGTGGCTTGTGTACTGCAAACACATACCAGCTTCATCACTGTGTCTGTTACGTGACTCTGTTCCCCTTTCGGGCTCTGTCTTTACATTTATTATCAATATATTCTGTTACACCAAATACACAAAATAATGATCTTTAAAAAAGCATTATATGACCCCTTTAAGAGAACGCACTGATCCAGTGCACTGATACTGTATGTTCAGCCGGCTATGGCTGCGTTCCAGTCCGTTTTTTTTATGCCCTTCACTCTCAAACTTCCCTCCGTCTCATTTACTCGGATGTACGTCATTGATTACGTTGCATGAGTGCCCATTTCTGGCGGAACCCTTGGAATGGACTGAACTGGAACGTCCTAAGCCCTTGATCACCTAGAATCAGCTATGGAGTTGGTATATTGTTTACATTTTTTCCCTTATGAATTTGTTTGGTGCAGAATTCTATATGTATATAGGTATGTTTGGGCTGTTATAAATGTTCATAAAAAATAATTTATATATTATAGAGTTGTTTGGGGTGGAGATAAATTAAACGCAATCTGCGATGACGTCATAATCATGTTGCATTGTGGTCTATGGAGCGGCCTGAAGTGTGCATATGAAGCAGACCATTGTTTACATTTTTTCCCTTATGAATTTGTTTGGTGCAGAATTCTATATGTATTTAGGTATGTTTGGGCTGTTATAAATGTTCATAAAAAATAATTTATATATTAAGAGTGGAACGCAGCCTATGTCTGCTAGGATACTCACCAAGACGAGCATTTTGACATAATTTTTGTGTGAATTTGTCCATTCAAACACAGTACTTCACAGAGAGCTTAATATTTGCACGCGTTCTGAGACGAATGGCAGCGGGGATTCCCCCGAGGGGACGTGCTTAGGGAAGTTTGCGAGTGCGTGTCTAAAAGTGGAGTGGAACGCAGCCTATGTCTGCTAGGATACTCACCAAGACGAGCATTTTGACATAATTTTTGTGTGAATTTGTCCATTCAAACACAGTACTTCACAGAGAGCTTAATATTTGCACGCGTTCTGAGACGCTTCAGGTGCTTCGGATGAGCGCACGCACAAATCTTCTCACTGGGCGCGCAAGTTCACGTCTTTTGGCTCTTTAATATTTAAACTGGCAAAGCTTAAATGAGTTTAGCTTAAACACAGATACCAACGTGTGCTGTTCAGGTCTCACCTGCGCTATCAACACGTGATGATATCATTTGATAAATGACAGTTATTACAGCATAAAGCACTCGCATTGAACAAAGAGTGACTGGTTTGTCCACGTATTGTTTTTTTCTCTCTCATCGCTCTTGTTGTAATGTATTGGGAAGCCAGAATTTGTATCCATCAACAGAAACATGCATTAGCCAAACTCTAACAAACCGTATTACAGATGCATTGTCAGATTTAAGTTGAACCAGGGTCCTAGTGCACGCCGAACCGTGTGTGGAGAACGGTATGGTTCGATTTTTTACAGAGAACCGTTGCACCCCTAATATATATATATATATATAGATATATTACTTTTAAATACATTGCGAGAAGTGTATTCTTGTTTGTGCTTCATTCATTGTTTGGAATAATTTGTATTATAAATATTTGTATATTTGATGTCATAGATGGCAAAGTTGGCAAAAATGAAGGTTAAACCCAGTGAAATGTTCCGGTCAGAGACTGACAAGTACTCCATCTTTGACGAAATGGTAATGCAAACCATTCAGTCTTCTTTGTCATAAGATACACTCGTTTAAATCACACTACTGTATGTACTGTATGTTGGACCCATTTCAAGGTGATTATTGGTCTTTAGGGGATGGATGAGTCCTTATGAATTTTTAATCATTTGGTCACATTTATTCAGAAATGCTAATAGCATGTCTGTCCTTTGCTTATACAGGGCTTCCCAACGCATGATGCTGAGGGAAAGGAGCTCAGTAAGGGACTGACCAAAAAGCTTCGCAAGCTTTACGAGGCACAAGAGAAGCTGTATAATGAATACCTCCAGTCGACCCAGAACGGGAGCTGAGAACATGTGTTGAGTCTGATGTGATCTGCCATCCGCCCTTACTGTCTGTTGTGAACTTGTCTTGTGTATGCGAAAAGGCAGCAAAACTTAAAGACCTCATCTGTGAGTTTTGGCTCTTAACTTTGGTAAGGTTTTGCCAAATCCTTCTGGTCATGGTTGGAAGGTCATTGTTTTTTGATGCTCTGCAATAATGACTTTGAGGGGTATTTTATGACTATGATATTAAGGGTATATTATGTGCTTTTTGCACACATAGAACAAAGATGCAAGTATATCAGAACTTTTCTAATGTGGGTTTGGTGGTTTATATGAAGTATGTAAGAAATATTTAGCCGTTAATGTGGAAATGGATCAAGCATACAATGTTTTCATCATTGATTTTTTTAAATCTGGCTGGTCAAAGAGGTGTTTTTTTCCGAAACACTGTTTACACATCGGCTAGTGATACATATGATTCCTCCAGAATCAAAATATCTCAGATGATACAGGAATGAAGGGACCTCAGGTTTGTTGGTTTACGACAAATGGAAAAACAGAGGCATACATAGGAGCACCAATTATTGTTAGTATTAACATACTCTTTATAAGAACATGAAATACCAAAATATAAAAGGATTTTGAATAATGTCTGATGCTCGTTTGTCCCTAGTAACTTATTTCTGCAAATGTTGCCATAAAGACTTGTCTAGAAAAGTTTTGTTCATACAGTTGTAGTCTAATACTGTAAGAACAGCTACAGATATTAAGTTTACGGTCATAAAACATATGCACAGAGCTTCACATAAGCCTGGTGAACGTATTGAACTGAATACTTGTTTAATGAATAGCACGGAATCAATACGAATGAACCGAGTCAATTACTGAGTGGCGTGACTCAGAATGTGACTTTAATAGCAGCTTGGCAGAAATGTTACAAATAAAACGTGCTTAAAACATGCAATACATTTTTAAGAGCGATTTTTTTTGTTGTTGTATGATTTAATGTAAATGCAAAATTATTTTGTGTCTCTTATTCGTGGTTGCACAAATTAATAAAACTAAGACACATAAAATTAAAATAGCCTAAACAGCTTGTGGAAGGTCTTAGAGCATGTAGTAGGAAACTCACTGATGTCAGGGACCAATAATGTATTTACATTAGGGCGTAAAAGAAGCGCCGATATCTGACTCATTTCAGAGAATCGATTCTTTTGAACAATACATATCAAAGAACCGATTCAACCCGAGTCCCTCAGCTGAACAACACTCGCTGATTCAGGTAAGAAAAGCAATCTCTCTAAATAAAATATTACTTTCTACTTTGCATTTTACCTGGAAATACATAGGCCTATTATGAGTTGTCTAGTTTACGTCAAGCAGAGTGGATTATGTTTTTTTTGCTGTAAATGTATGATAGTAGTGTGCTGCTTATGCTCTCACTGCATGCCATCTTTGTTTTGATAAAGTTGCGAGTGACTGTTACAAATTGTTACAGTTTACAGGTCATTTAACAAACAATTACCCTGTAACCTGTTAACCGCCGCAGAAATAGTCCAAGCTCATACCCGGAGGGTGTTTTGTGAGGGTCTGTGAGCCTGCTGGCCTGTGACATTCTTCAGTGTTGGTTTGGAGACGATCCAGTGTCTGCCCTCTGTCGCCGTTATGACCCCCGCCATCACCTGTGCTAAACTGGTGGTTGCTGAGATTATGAGATCTGATTTAATCTGTTATGATCTGGATGTGCCTAGTTTAGCGTGTTAGCTGCTACCGAGAGTGTATCTCTGATGGGCGTCAACATAAACACATCTGTTTGTTACTTTACTTGAAACTGCTGATTTTTATGTTTGTAGTTTTGCTGTTTGCTATACATTAGAAATGTAAACGTATCGATTCTTGTAAATAAGGAGTGATTGACTTTGCCTTACCAGCATAAGCAAAGTTTCCCCCAAAAGAGTAAAGTAATAAAACATGCATTTGGGATCTTTTCAAGTTAAGAAGTTTTCAGAAACTTTTGTTACTTATTGTTTTTCTAAGGATTTTTTTTCTTCGACTATCCGGGGCTTTTTGGGGGCCTTAACAGGCACACACTTTGGAACCTGCGGTCATTAGAACGCCGCAGAGACTGGGACCCGGGCGTGGCACAGGGGCTCTAACGGCACCCCCTGGAACACAGTCAGAAAACTTGATGTATAGCTCACACATACTTGCACGAATTCATATGAAACTCGGTACACATATAGATCTCATTGAGCCGAACAAATTTCACGCTGCATGTCATAGGCTCCGCCCAACAGGAAGTTGGCTATTCAGGGCTGTGTAAAAAGCGCATGCTCTGGAATGTGATATACTCCTCTGAGAATTTCCAACCGATTGCCACCAAACTCAGTGAACATGGTCTCAAGACATGGGGGATGCTAAATTTCGAAGGGATTTTTGATATCTCGAACGGTTTGCTCGTGGCGAGGCGATGAAGTTATGGCGAGAAATTAGAAAAAGGAAGTGTCTAATAACATACACATACATTGTCTGATTTTGATCAAACTTCAGGGCTTTGTTCGTTGTATGATGCCGATCGCATACATGTGACTATTAGGAGTCAAAGTTATAGCGCCACCAACTGGCAGCAGGAAGTGTGTCATTTTCAAAATGCTTTGAATTCAGCATCTTGTTTTTACTCGATTTGCTTCAAACTTCTTCAGAATAATGTCAAAACACGGCCGATGTAAAACTGATATTGATATCTAAAATATTGTTGCCATGGCAACGTGTCAAACTTGAATATTATTTTCTGGTGATTTTGAGGCAGATAACATGCTTAGAATTTCATGAATCTCCACACACATATCAGTATTAATGATATACTGAACAAAAATATAAACGCAACACTTTTGTTTTTGCCCCTATTTTTCATGAGCTGAACTCAAAGATTTTCTATGTACACAAAAGGCCTATTTCTCTCAAATATTGTTCACAAATCTGTCTAAATCTGTGTTAGTGAGCACTTCTCCTTTGCCGAGATAATCCATCCACCTCACAGGTGTGGCATATCAAGATGCTGATTAGACAGCATGATTATTGCACAGGTGTGCCTTAGGCTGGCCACAATGAAAGGCCACTCTAAAATGTGCAGTTTTACTGTATTGAGGGGTCCAGGGGGGTCAGAAAACCAGTCAGTATCTGGTGTGACCACCATTTGCCTCACGCAGTGCAACACATCTCCTTCGCATAGAGTTGATCAGGTTGCTGATTGTGGCCTGTGGAATGTTGGCCCACTCCTCTTCAATGGCTGTGCGAAGTTGCTAGATATTGGCAGGAACTGGAACGAAAAAGTCTTAGATCTTTGAGTTCAGCTCATGAAAAATGGGAGCAAAAACAAAAGTGTTGCGTTTATATTTTTGTTCAGTGTAGATAGACACTGGAAAAAGCTCATAAAAGGGCGTGGAAGAGGCACTCTGTAGCGCCACCTTTTGACAAAACTTGGGGGGTTAGTTTTAGCTACAGTCACCACACTTGGTACATATATTGTTCTCATAAAGCCGGACAACTTTTTAATTTACAGTCATTAGCTACGTTCATCAGGAAATCGGCTATTTTGATTTAAATATGGATTTTTGGAAAAATATAGCTGTGAATTAATGCATACTCCTCAGAGGAAAATTATACTATACACACCAAACTTTGTCTACATGATGCCAAAACATTGAGGAACTTAAATTGCGGATGAATTTTGGATAGCTTAAACGGTTTTGCCGTGGCGATTTATTAAAATAACAGTAGAAAAGGAAACCGTAATTGTCTTATATTATTAAAGTGCAGCTTCCAAACACTTCAAAACATTTTATATACAGAGAACAAGTCATTCTGAGGAAATATGCATAGTTTCACGACTTTACAACACTCTATGGATAACAGAAAATTAAAAAAACGATCAGATATCTGATCTTATTCTGCCACTCTGCCTCTGTGTGAGGAAGGGGGTGGGGAGGGTGGCTGAGTTTGTGTGTTGAGTGAGGGGGTTGGTGAGAGAGAGAGAGACTTTTAAACATCTCTTTAATCACCAGAAAAACAATTAGTAATTTTTTGTTGTTGGTGGTGTTTTTCTTTTCAATACAGCTTAAGAAATCTCTTAGGACTTATCCTTTTCTGTCAGTTTTAGGGACAATAATATCCTAGAACCATTTAATTTGTAGGGCACTGACAACATAATTTTATATAATTAGTTTAATTATGTTAATTGCAACATAAAAAGATCAAAAGATACACGTGGACTTATACATTTTTTGTGCTGCAAATAATAATTTGAAACTCATTTGATACTGACCTATGACATCCTGTGACATGACATTCATCTGAATGCATTTTTTTTGTCTAATGATCATGCCTTAACTTTGCAATTTCTATATTGCATTAGTTTTGAATATTTCTCATGGGGATTTAATAATTTTTGACTTTTCAGTCTGAGTTAAACCTCTTTTTTGGCTCATTTCATCTGTAAAAGAAAATTGCCTATTTTCTTGCCTATTTCTAGAGAGTTTTTCTCTTCCAGCCTGCATGAACAATTATATATCACTCATAAATGATTAAATACAAAATTAATAGTAGTTATTAAGATTGATGTGGTTTGGAATTGGTAAAATGTGCTTGGAAAAAAATATCATCAGAATATCAAAGTGTCTAATAATTATGCACGCGGTGTAAATCATTAAATGTTTTGGTAACACTTTATATTAAGGTCTCATTTGTTAACATTAGTAAATGCTTTAACTAACATGAACTAAAAATGAACAATATATTTTCACAGAATTTATTAATGTTTGTTGATGTAAGTTCACAGTGCAGTATTTTTTTTTTACTTTATTTTTTTAAAACTCAGTTTAAGTTTTGAATATTAACTGACATTAATACATGCTATATAATTATTGTTCATGTTAATTAATATAGTTAATGTTAATAACTGAAACCTTACTGTAAAGTGTTACTAAAGTTTTATATATTGTTCTGTATGTGTGTGTTTCACAGTCTTGATGGTTTGGATTAACCCTTTAATTGCTGTATCCCTTAAAACCAGACTGCCAGAGGGTTACTGTAAATGCATGTGCCCGCTGTGCACCGTTCTCCTGATGCCAGGGGGGTGGCATTTGCACTGACGGCTTGGGCCCGCCATCGCTGCTTGCAGCTATATTTATTAGTTATTCTTTATTAGAATTCCTATAATAATTATTGTTAATATTGTTGTTATTATTGGGCGCTAATACCAAGTTACCTGTTTTATTTTAGTAGTATAATAGTAATATTTATTTTAGTAATGTAATAATGATACAGCAATAACTATGGAATTACCATGTTAAATGTCTAGCTTGTGGATTTTGATTTGAAAATAATAATAATAAAATCAACTTAAATATGAAGCAAGCACTATTAACAATGTTATTTCCATGAATTGATTCAAATAAAAATTTTTAGCATAACTGTATTCCACGTTGGTTTTTATGGTTAAAAAATACCCCTCAAAATTAACGCTGGGGTGCAATTATTTATTCTAATTAAATTATTAACTTCTGACTCTGCATTGTGGTAATTTAGCTTCATTACACTGTTGTTTTGGTTGTGCAAAGCATCACCTGTTTTTAATATGAATGCATTTTGTTTTTAAGAAATATGATTAAAATTGCAAGTTAATAAATATATATGATTTTGTCTTTACCAATAGAAAAAAAAGTTATTTTAGACAAGCTGAAGTTGTATGTTTTTTGTTTTTCACAGAATATTTGAGCTGTGGTATCAAAATGGATGCTGACAATGAAGCCAAAGGTGTAGAAACTATGAATTCCTGGTACTCTCTTTGACTAGCAACCTTGCATTTTTCACATGCGCTATACCTTGTATAGTCTGTATAGCTTTTGAAATGCTGACACATTTATGAGCTGGCTGAGAACATGATTTTATGTGTTACTTAGATTGTCTTGTAAATTATTTTTGGATTCAGGGTGTTTCTCGATCAAAAGCCAGTATAATGTTTCAGTGTAAAAGTTTCATGAAGCTTCACATCACTGCTGCCGAGGATTTAATGGAAAAGATTGTCTCATAGGTTCTTTTGAGAAATTTGTGCAATCTTACAAACTTACTAAGAGCAATATCAATAGGTGAATATAGGTGAAACGATAGTGCTGTTTCACTGTGCTGCTGAACGTTATGCTTCCTTTAAGATGGATGTCTGTTTATGGAAAGGAACTGTGTGCAGTATAAACCTTCTTTGAGAGTTGATAGTCATACATTTTTCCATTGATTCATTTTTTATTTTTTTTTGCTGGTGATGGCATGTTATTTTCAGGTAAGGTGAGCGGCCAGGCGAAGCAGAACCCACAAGCGTTGGCAGCAGTTCAGGACAAAATAGACAGTGTCTCACATAATGCTTCCATCATGGACAGGTAAGCAAGATGAAACAAACCAAACTAATAACTTGGAACCAAAGAGACTAACAGGGCAAACATAAATTTTGTACCTCATTGTTTTTATTTCTGGTCATGGCATGGTCATTGTCATGTTTTTATTGTTTCCTATCTTGAGAAAACTATTTCCTAACTTGATATGTCTCATATTTCCTGTGTGGAATTTTAAAGCTGGACATTGCATTTTTATTGTTCTTCACGTTACGTAGAGAGGCAAACTTGCCGGTGTAATATAACCGTCCGTCTAAGGGAGAAAAACTCTAGTCAGACAGACCATCTGCCTGTAACCTAAATCTGTCTCTGCATGTTAGGTTATAACATAGAAGTCAGTCCTAATGGTGTGTGTATCTATGTACTGTATGTCTTTGTGTGTGTCAGCTTGATGATGCCCAGAGAGAGGTCACTCACCTGTGAAGGCTACTTCGCTCTCTGAGTTTGGCTGTAGTTGTAGTGGTCATGAAAATGATGACACAGACAACAATATTTGCACAAAACAGCAATAATCCATTTGTGCGTGAACACTGCAAGACCAAACATAAGGCTTGTAGAAAGCATTTTATTTTTAATCCAACTCAAACCAATTCAGGGATTGCAGCGCACAATCTATAATAACGCATGAAGCGTGTGACTCGAGTTATCAGAGGTTAAGCACATTTTGCGATGTGATAGGAACGGGGATCTTGTATCTCATGCTCTTACTTCAAACCCATCTGTTGACCCCAGAGAGCAGGGAAATGCACTAGTCCAGCTGTGCAGTACCGGACACCCATCTGCTCACACAATGTCTTTCTTCTCTTCCTCTCCCAACTTCTTCCAGCTTACCAAAGTCTGTGAAAAGAAGAGTCAATGCCTTAAAGAATCTTCAGGCTAACAACACGCACATCGAAGCCAGGTTTTACAAGAAGGTGCATGAGCTGGAGAGAAAGTATAGCGCTCTTTATCAGCCGTTATATGACAAAGTGAGTTGGGTTTTTGTGTGTGTGTGTTATCTATGTATTTATCTTAGCATTATAATATATTATACAACAGTTCGTTCTGGTTCTCAGATCTGATTGGTTGAGAACCGTGAGATATTGTACTGGTATCGCTACAGGCAGGGCCGCATTAACCATTGGGCTAGGTGGGGCTGAAGCCCCGGGGCCCGGACAAGGAGGGGACCCGTGATTGGCTGTGGAGTAGATTGACTGGTCATCAGTAGCGCGGAATGCCAAAGCCCTGCCCCTCACTTATTAGCGCTATTATTTAGTGGAGCTTTTCCATATATTCCATGCATTACCTTTAGAGATTAAAACGTCACGTTTGAATTTGGTTTACCAATCAAATGCATTTATTCTATATGTTTACTTTTGAACAACCAGTGCACCACGTATAAATCAGGTGATCGCTGTAATGTCGCATTCACCTCTCTTCAATTATTCTGGCATAGCCTGGAAATGGTCATGCAAAGAACAATCTTCAATAAGTATTCTAAAATGAAAGTGAGAGAGGGGCTATTCTAAAAAAAATTAGGAGCACCTGCTCTACAGCGCCAGTCTAACTCAAGTTATTTTTGCGCCTTGTGCCTAAACGTTCAAATGCACAGTTATGTGTCAAAATGTTTTCTCGTCAACACAGTCATTTGTGTCTTAAAGGAACGTTAATAGTTCAATATAAAGCATGTGTAGTAGTAGGCTATATGAGATCCTAATATGATGAGATTTTAAAGGGATAGTTCACCCAAAAATGAAAATACTGTCATCATTTACTCAGCCTCAAGGAATTGTTCAAAACCTGTATGAATTTCTTTGTTCTCCTCAACATAAAATAAGATATTTTGAAGAATGTTCGTAACTACTGAAACTGAAAACTCATCTCTTTCATCATAAAAAATACAAAAAAATTATATCTCTTTATTTATTTATTCCTTCTCTTTCTAGCTTGTACTTATTTGAACAATGTCTAGAAACTTGGTATTACAAGCACTTCCTGTATCTGTTTGCCTCTTTAAGAAGAATCGCTTTATGTATCCCCCAATTGTAAGTCGCTTTGGATAAAAGCGTCTGCAAAATGACTAAATGTAAATGTAAACTAGAAAGTTTCTGGTCCCCATTGACTCCAATAGTGTATTTTGTTTTTCATACTATGGAAGTCATGGGGGCCCAGCAACTGTTGGGTTACCAGTATTGCTCCAAATATATACTTTTACATTCAACAGCCGAAGGAAACGCGTACAGGTTTAGAACAACAGATCTTTCATTTTAGGGTGGGCTATTCCTCTAAAGCAGCCTAATTTAGCTGCTGTTAAAATGTATGTCAATAATGTTAATGAAACATTAGAAAGAAAATAACTCACTGTCCTTGACTGAATCACTTGTGTAAAATAAATAAGAATGAATGTATATTGAATTTATACAGTGAAGACTATTCATACTTTTATTTAATACAATAACATTTCCTATTCAGTGCTTTAAGTGTTTCAAGTAGGTCTTTTTTGTAATTTGTGGCTGTTTACTTGTCTTAAGTATAAGCTTGTTTTTGCTAGTATTTTTTATTTTTATTTATTTATTTTTTAATAGAATTATGAAATTTCAATGCATCAAAATTTTGATAGGATAAAAATGAAACATTAGAAAGAAAATAACTCACTGTCCTTGACTGAATCACTTGTGTAAAATAAATAAGAATGAATGTATATTGAATTTATACAGTGAAGACTATTCATACTTTTATTTAATACAATAACATTTCCTATTCAGTGCTTTAAGTGTTTCAAGTAGGTCTTTTTTGTAATTTGTGGCTGTTTACTTGTCTTAAGTATAAGCTTGTTTTTGCTAGTATTTTTTATTTTTATTTATTTATTTTTTAATAGAATTATGAAATTTCAATGCATCAAAATTTTGATAGGATAAAAATCCCATTTAAATCTATATATATTATATTTGTAATAGGGGGCCCTACAGTAAGTCATAGCCCCGGGGCCCAGTAAGGTCTTAATGCGGCCCTGGCTACAGGAACGCTCTTTCACAATTTTGTATCACTCCGCTTGTTCTAGCCGGGTCTATGTATTTTTTTTTATTATTATTCACTGAGATAATTGTCGTTGTTTCTTGTTTAATTACACACATGTTCCGTCAAACTGTTGTATAAACGCAATATCACTCTCGTACTTGAGCGATACCGGCTCTATATCAGCGGCTGTGATTGCCTCCGGGACTCGTGCCTCTGGCCTAATCACAGCCATGATGATATAGAGCCGGTATCGCTCTCGTACTCGAGTGATATTGCTCATATATTATATGCTTTATATATTTTTACATATGCTACAGTTTTAATTTTATTAAAGAAATGTATATTTGTATTCAGAAAGGACACATTTAAGTTATCAAAAGTGACAGTTGAGACATTTGTTTCCTAAACAAAGATTTCTATTTTAAATAAATGCTCTTCTTTAGAATTTTCTGTACTTTAAAGAATCCTGAACAGGTGTATCACAGTTACCACAAAAAATGTTAAGTTAATATTAAATATCAACTGTTTTTCATCATTGACAATAACAAGAAATATTTCTTAAGCACCAAATCACATTTTAGGATAAGGATCATGTGACACTGAAGACTACTGAAAATTCAGCTTTGCCATCACAGGAATAAATACCATGTATAAATAACAACAAAATAGATTGAAATAGAACATGTTAAATTGTAATAAATTTCACGGTATTACCGTTTTTGCTGTATTCTTGCTCAAATAAATGTAGCCTTGGTGAGTATAAAAAAACACCAAACAAAAACATGAAAAAATCTTACCTACCCCAAACTTTTGAACTATTATGATCTCAGATGGTACTTGCCCAAGTATGAAATGAAAGATGAGGCTGCAAATCTGTGTCTGTCTAAAGTAGGCCTTGGATTTTCCATAAACAGAGCTCTCAGGTAAATGGCGGGGAAAACAAGTGAAGAGAAAATTCAGGGAATTAAGAAGTGATGCACTCTTAAAAAGACTTCATCCAAACCAGGAGAATGCATACTTCGATTTAATAGTTTTAGAAAGTCCCTAAAAGAGAAAAAAGTTTATGAGCCTACACTTCTTTGACAGGGCTGCTACACAAAAGAAAGAGAGATACTAATTAAATAATTAAAACTAAGACAAAACCCCTGTTGAATGCTTGCAAGACTACTACTGTTAAATTGGGATTCAATTAAATGTTTTTTTCTTGTAGATATAGCGTCTTTTAATAAGAATTGTATAAGATGTTGATGTGCTTTTATATGCATTGAAAGTCTTTGTTAGTATTTATTCTCATACTTAGATGCCACAGCCATTGCATACTTTGTATGTGCTGTACTTTATCTGTTCCATTTTATTCTATATTTTTATTTATATATTTACCTTTTAGAATTTAAAAGGTCAATAATTTGTTTGATGAATGAGATCTGACTAGTCCTTGGAAAAAAAATATATAGCGCTTGAAATTCTTGACATTTAATTAAACACCATTTGTACTGTGTACAGTATCTGTTCCTCCGTGTTCTGTAGGTTTCAGTATAGCTTCAAAGCACAGAAAGTCTCCTGAGCTCAATGTGAACACTCCTCTCATTTGTCTGGATGGGTAATATGATATGCTTTCACAACTGTGCTTTTTGTGTGTTTCCAGAGAAGAAACATTGTCTCTGGAGAAGTGGAACCCACTGATGAGGAGTGTGAGTGGCAGAGTGACCATGAGGATGAAGCAGCATTAGCAGTGAGTATCATCTGTCCACTCGCATTGAAATCAGACAGAAGAGCAGCAGTCTAAGGGAAACCTTTCTTTTTCAGGAAGATCTGAAGAAGAAAGCTGCTATAGAGGAAAAGACAGAAGATGCTAATGAGGAGAAGCCCAAAGGAATTCCAGAGTTTTGGCTCACCATATTCCGGAGTGTGGACATGTTGAGCGATATGCTGCAGGTGAACCAGCAGAACATTAGATATTCAACAGAGACCTTGTCCTCGGTAGACTTCGCTATTCTTTTCTGACTAATGATTATTTAATGTTTTATTTTGCCCTCTAACCTTGTACAGTACAGACAATATGCAACTTTATATTATTTGAATGTGAATACAGTTATATATTTATTAAAATATTATGAATACAGTTTCATGAAAAGACAGGGCAATGTTCTCCAGCACATTTGAAATGAAAAGAAAGCCTGTGCTGTCCATAATGCTCTCTTTCTCAACAGGAGCATGATGAACCAATACTTAAACACCTTCAAGATATTAAAGTGATATTTTCTGGTCCTGATCAGCCCATGGTGAGGACAATATTTGAAGGTTTTATGTTGATTTTAAAGTGAACTGATTTTTTTTAAACCGAAGGTCTTGTCGTAACTTGCTGTACTTATAAATGTATTTCATTCTTCCTTTTTTTAACACAGAGCTTCACATTAGAGTTCCATTTTGACCCCAATAAATACTTTACCAACACAGTTCTCACAAAAGTATACAAGATGAAGTCGGAGCCAGATGCAGAGGATCCGTTTTCATACGAGGGACCAGAAATCATCGACTGTGAGGGGTGAGCACTTCTCAAACAATACCTGCTCATATTGTAGGCAGCTTTTCACACTTTTTCATTATTCCATCTCTTCTGTTGGCAGGTGTGAAATTGATTGGCTCAAAGGCAAAGATGTTACGGTAAAAACGATCAAGAAGAAACAGAAGCACAAAGGCAGAGGGACAGCGAGGGTCATCACCAAACAAGTGCCCAATGACTCCTTTTTCAACTTTTTCAACCCTATTAAAGGTACGCAACATGACAGATGTGCATGTGAACTTTTCTGAATGCTGATAACAGGAGAATGAGAACAGTAGGTTGAATTGCACATGGGGAAATCATAATATTAGTTCTCTCATTTAAGTGTTTTCATACTGTAGGTCTACTCTTTTGCATGAAGTCACCAATATTTTTTTTCTTTTAGTTTCACCAGATAAAGAGTTGGTGAGTATTTTTTATTTTTTATTCTTTCTTGCTTTAACTCAGTTCTAGCTAGGCAATTAGTTGGCCTGATATCAGTTAAGGTTTTGGGTGTTTCATAATCAGAAAAATAAGATGTTATCCAGCATTATTTCTTCTGAGAGACATGAGTGGTTAGTAAGTTTAGAGAATCTTTTCAGAGAAGTAGAAATAATCAGACTTAATTTTTTTATCTTCAAATGTCTTCAAATCTTCAAAAAAAAGTTGTACTCACTTTTTTTGTGTTCAACAGGATGAGGATTCGGAGTACACTTTAGCCACAGACTTTGAAATCGGTCATTTCTTCAGGGAAAGAATCGTTCCGAGAGCAGTTTTGTATTTCACTGGAGAAGCCCTGGAGGATGATGAAAGTGTACATATTTTCAAATGACTGTTTCTTGCCTTATGATATTTATGGTTTAACAGAGTTGCTGCAATTATCTGTTATGTACATTAATTCGTTTGCGTCTGTTGATGCAGTTTGAAGAGGAGGAACTGGATGAGGGTGAAGAGGAGGAACTGGATGAGGGTGAAGAGGAGGAACTGGATGAGTGTGAAGAGGAGGAACTGGATGAGGGTGAAGAGGAGGAACTGGATGAGGGTGAAGGGGAGGAACTGGATGAGGGTGAAGAGGAGGAACTGGATGAGAGTGAAGAGGAGGTGAGTTCACTGTATACATTTTGAACATAAATTGAGGAATCAGTGTTTGATGAAAGTTCACTGTTGAAATCAGTGATGCTTTATATGATATTATGTTCAGTTATGCAGACTAATTCTCTGTTTTGTGTGAAATAGGACCAAGATGAGGAGGACCAAGATGATGAAGAGGAGGGAGATTCCAAGGTCAGTGTGGATTTAGATCATTACTTTAGAAAAAAATCTAAAATCTAGAAATTACTTCATTGTCTCTTTGTTCAGTGTTCCTCAGTCTCTTTGTTTTTCTTTGAATGAAGGTTTGTGGATTATTTGCATGTCTGATGATTAATGATGATTGTGGTTGTTCTCTACCTCCTGTTCTGCCCTAGTGACAGGCATAAGTCATTCTCACCTCATACATTTCTAGGTAAGAAAGAAATGTCATGAGTCCATTCTAACCTTTTCCTTCACACGTCCCTCTCAGCCTCATCCCTCTCATGTCTGCTATCCCATCCCCACAGCACCCCTGTGACATTATACTAAGCCACTCATTTTATATCATTAAGGCCTTGTCCAAAATCTCAGTATAGGACTGTAACAGAAAAGAGAAGACGACAGAATCACGGCTGCTGTATTAGAGAATTTTGGACAAGGTCCTTCCATCCATTTTGCTTAAAGTATCTTGCTTAATAGTTATTGATGGCATTTAGTAGGTCAAGTACTTTTCCAGCTCATATATGTGGCATCCTCTTTTGAATACATAATATCTTGCTATAACTTTACATCCACCTATTCAAGGTGATACTACACCATCAAGCACTGACTTGTGGTCTACACTGACATTAGAGCGTGATCCTGGAGTGCTTCAGTACTGGGGTTTCTTGACTTATGTCTTATATTAAAGGGATTATATCATGCAGTACCATTCAAACGTTTGGGATCATTATGCTTTTTTTAAAGAAATAAATACTTTTATTGAGCAAGGGAGCATTAAATTGATCAAAAGTGAAATTAAAGACTTTTACAATGTTACTATATCTGTCTATCTATCTGTCTGTCTGTCTGTAGGTGTGTGTGTGTGTGTGTGTGTGTGTATATATATATATATATATATATATATATATATATATATATATATATATATATATATATATATATTAGGGCTGTCAGTTGAATAACATTTTTAATCTAATTAATTACATGATTTTTCGATTAATTAAGATTATTTAAAGCTATTTTTGTATTAAATGAGAAAGTATCAAGTAGACATTACAAATTGTAGCTTTAGAAATATTTTATTTGATTCAACATACATTTTATTACACGTAAACATTTAGGCTACAACGGCCCAACATAAACTATGGAACATAAAAGAAGATCATTTGAGAAACATCTCAGTATTGTTTGTTCATACAATGAAAGTCATTGGTAACCAAAACAGCTCTGTTACCAACAGTCTTCAAAATACCTTCTTTTATGTTCCACAAAAGAAAGTTTTGAAACTACACGAGGGCGAGTAAATTATGACAGAATTAAAATTTTTTGGGGTGAACTATCCCTTTAATGTTTATTTTTTTTATTATTCTTAAATTTTTTTTTTTTTATTAAATGATACTCTAAATAATAAACAAAATCTGCCAGCAGGTGGCGGTAAATGTCTTTATGACTCATTCGATTAGTTCAAACGACTGATTCATTCAGGAATTCAGTAAACGGCTCTCTTTATGAATGGCCCTTTGAATCATTGGTTCACACGATTCGTTCAAAACGCGGATTCGCTCGGAAACGAAACACCGCTGTGTTGCTCGGAGTCACACAACAATTCTGCTATGGCTTTAAAGGTAATATGTTCTCTGCAAAATTGAGCAAAAGCACATAATATTGTGTTTAAAATATAACACAATATCAACTTCTTATTTACTGAACTGTTGTATAAGATCACATTTAAGCTTGTGATATTCGGGACAAAATCACTGCTCTCCCTGCTCGTGTGACATCGTATGATATAAATATGACAAATTCATACAGGGGCATTTTTGCACCAATTTCTTGAATTTTAGGGCATAACTGCATTTATGATGCAGGACAACAAGTCATAAATGCAGTTATGCCCTAAAATTCAAGATATTGGTGCAAAAATGCTCCTGTATGAGTTTTTGTCTTATATATTTATGTCATGCGATATCACACTAACGGGGAGGGCAGTGATTTTATCCCGCCACCTGCTGGCAGATTTAGTTTCTTATTTAGAGTATCATTTAATAAAAAACATAAATAAAAAGAATAATAAAAAAAATAAACATTAAAGGGATAGTTCACCCCAAAAAATTTTAATTCTGTCATAATTTACTCGCCCTCGTGTAGTTTCAAAACTTTCTTTTGTGGAACATAAAAGAAGGTATTTTGAAGACTGTTGGTAACAGAGCTGTTTTGGTTACCAGTGACTTTCATTGTATGAACAAAAAATTTTATTTAATTATTTTTGGTTATTTTATAAATTATCTTCTTTTATGTTCCATAATTTATGTTAGGCCATTGTAGCCTAAATGTTTATATGTAGCCTAATAAATTTTGTTGAATCAAATAAAATATTACTTTCTAAAGCTATAATTTGTGATGTTTACTTGATTCTTACTCATTTAACACAAAAATAGCTTTAAATAATATTTTGTGGGTATTTTCACAGTCAAATTTATTTTGCGATTAATTAGATTAATTAATCGACACATCATGTAATTAATTAGATTAAAAAATGTAATCGACTGACAGCCCTCATATACATACATACATACATATATATATATAAGAATCCAGAAAAATATAAATCCAGAAAAATTATAAGTAGAAATTCCAGTATTTTTTATTTTTTATTCTTTCTTGCTTTAACTCAGTTCTAGCTAGGCAATTAGTTGGCCTGATATCAGTTAAGGTTTTGGGTGTTTCATAGTCAGAAAAATAAGATGTTATCCAGCATTATTTCTTCTGAGAGACATGAGTGGTTAGTAAGTTTAGAGAATCTTTTCAGAGAAGTAGAAATAATCAGACTTAATTTTTTTATCTTCAAATGATCAGAAAAGTTGTGCTCACTTTTTTTGTGTTCAACAGGATGAGGATTCGGAGTACGCTTTAGCCACAGCCGTTGAAATCGGTCATTTCTTCAGGGAAAGAATCGTTCCGAGAGCAGTTTTGTATTTCACTGGAGAAGCCCCGGAGGATGATGAAAGTGTACGTATTTTCAAATGACTGTTTCTTGCCTTATGATATTTATGGTTTAACAGAGTTTCTGCAATTATCTATTTTGTACATTAATTTGCTTAATGTCAGAATCAGCTCAGTCAGTGATTGTTGTAAAATGCCGTCTTTACTGTTACTAAATCTGCAAAAGAGACGCTGTTCCTCAGGCTGAAACGGACAAACAAATTACACTTTGAGCTTCGGGCGCATGTCCAATCAATCAAATACACACAAAAATATGTCAAAATGGCCGGCTTGAAGAGTATTTACTTAAACACAGTTTATGTCTTAAGTGGAGGAGAACAGTTGGGAGAAACTCATGGCTGTATTAGATCAAAAGGGTGCTTCTACTAAATACTGAGCAAAGGGTCTGAATACTTAGGACCATGTGATATTTCAGTTTTTCTTTTTTAATAAATCTGCAAAAATGTCAACAATTCTGTGTTTTTCTGTCAATATGGGGTGCTGTGTGTACATTAATGAGGAAAAAAAATGTACTTAAATGATTTTAGCAAATGGCTGCAATATAACAAAGAGTGAAAAATTTAAGGGGGTCTGAATACTTTCCGTACCCACTGTATGTATATATATATAAATATCCAGAATAATCCAGAAAAATATAAATCCAGAAAAATTATAAGTAGAAATTCCAGAAAAATAATAAGCAGCACAACTGATTTCAACATTGATTATAATAAGAAATGTTTCTTGAGCAGCAAATCAGCATCTTAGAATGATTTCTGGAGGATCATGTGATACTGAAGACTGGAGTAATGACTGCTGAAAATTAAGCTTTATTAAAATTAAACTAAGCTACCATCACAGGAATAATCACATTTTAAAATATATTAAAATCGAAACTGCTATTTTAAATTCTATTAATATTGTACAGTATTACTGTTTTTTTTATTTTTTTATTTGGTGTTTACAGACTGTAGTATTTCAGAACAATCTTTTTTAGCAGCTCGTTACTTCAATAAATTGTTTGCACTTGAGAAGAAGTTTTGAGGTCTGAAATGTTTTTTTTTGTTTTTTTTCAAAAGATCAGTTGAGATTTGGTTTGTCGTGATATGACCCCTTCATGCACAGCAACTGGTTCAGACATAACATTTTCTTTCGGTGGATCAGGCTGTGGTGAAAAACGCTTTCTCGCATTTAGTTATAATGATGTATCTGCAGTACAAAAGAGTGGTGATTCACTTTAGATTCCCTGATGATTTTATCTTAATTAATGATTGCATTCACATTGTTGGTGCTACAAAGGCCTAGGATACATCAGTGTAAATGTGCTTTCATGAGCCACTCTTCTGTGATGAAGATGCATCTCCCTCTCTTTCTCCTGCACTCCTCCTGCAGTTGCAGATACTGTATCAACTTTTTGAATAAAAAAAGTCTCCCTTTCCCCATCCCTATCTTTTATGTTTTGTTTTGTTTTTTCAGACCGGGGATCCTCAGCCTGCAGAGTGCAATCAACAGTAGTTTGGATCACTCACTCCTGCCACTGTCAAACCCCATCAGCTCACCTAGAATCAGCCCTGTAGTGCGGCGTACATTCTCTGATGAGCACACCATCCAACAAAACAAAACATGATGATGCAATACATTGGTAAACTAGTTTTTTAACCTACAAAATTTGCTATACTACAACACTATTGATAAATTGGGCAATTCCAGATTACAATTCCCAGCTTCAGAATGTAGATATATACATAAATAAATGTAAAACTATTTTTTAATTAATTATTTAGACATGTACAGACATAATGACTTGAGATATGTCATTGCATAGCCAAAAAAAAAAAACTTGTATTCTAACCTTTGTCAAGTTTGTTTGTATTTAACAAATAGTTTCTCTTCTCATTTTTGAAGTGTTCCGTGTCATGAGCATAACCATTTTTTATGCAGTATATCCATTTATGTACTTTTTATGCACTTATTTATGGAATGTGCTAGCTAGCTAGCCAGTCCAACTAATGTATCTGCGATATCTTGCAGGCATCAATTAATTGTGTTTAATCATATCCGGCCTCTTTGCAATATAAATATCTAACATTTCCATCTTCATTCGACTTTCTCTTTGAATGTCGTAATTAAAAAATAATAATAATCTCTGCACTCCTCTACATGAGTATGCTCAGTCGATGTAGTCTCATTTTATATATATATATATATATATATATATATATATAAATGTATTTCGGTATACGTTATATCCATAATGCTGGAATTGCTCAATTTAGATCGTATTTAAAGACGATATGGCAAGTCCACTACCAATGGTCACTGAATTCTGAGTGAATAATAATAATCTCTGCACTCCTCTACATGAGTATGCTCAGTCGATGTAGTCTCATTTTATATATACAGTGGGTACGGAAAGTATTCAGACCCCCTTAAATTTGTCACTCTTTGTTATATTGCAGCCATTTGCTAAAATACCCACTGTATATATATATATCTAAATGTATTTCGGTATACGTTATATCCGTAATGCTGGAATTGCTCAATTTAGATCGTATTTAAAGACGATATGGCAAGTCCACTACCAATGGTCACTGAATTCTGAGTGAACTGCAGGTGATTACATGTCCTTCGAGATACAACATCGCATCCCAAAGTTGATTGAATTCATTTATTTTGTGACTTAATCTCATAGGTTACTCAGGGTTTTTTATGCCAAGATGACAGTGTGCAAGTATCCAGCATTGTGAAACTGTTGATATCTAACCTGCTTCATGTTCCTTCTTGTAAAAGAAGGAAGACTTTTGAAATGTGGCTTTTAGTTATAACAGAGTTATTTATATATCTTTTCCATCTTTATATTATTGTTTTGAACTCTGTCTTGGTCTTGTGCTTCTTGGTGGATCCCTGAGAGAATATGTTTTGCTAATGTATGTACTACCCAGTTGATTATAGCCTTTTAGCATTTAAAAATGCTTTTGCTGTACTGCCCAAGCACTTACAAAAAAGTGTCTTTTATTGCCAAAGAGAGTGATCTGATTTCACTTTACCACAACTTTTTCTGTGTCAGAGTATTTCAGGTCTGCATTTCATTTGAAATAATTAGATATTAATGCTAAAGAATGCATGTTATGGAATGTTTCAAGTTCAATACGAGTTGAGCTCAATCAACAGCATTTGTAATGAATAACTACAAAAGATCATTCAGATTCATTCCTTGTTTTCTTTAAAACTAAAAAGCATTATGATGAAATACTTGCAGTGGAAGTGAATGGGGAAATGTGAAACCTGTAATTCTGTAAGTATTTACGTTATTTTGTTAATGTGAAAGATTCATGCTTTTTAGAATTGGTTGTTTTCTAGTCCACCTTTGTTTCTGGTTAGTGAATGAAAGGAGGAAGTCATTTGTGAGGAGAAAAGAAGTGATGAAAAGTTCAAATGCCTAAGTTAGAAGAATAACTGTTATGATGTCTGACAAATTTTGCTGCATTTTACCATTAAATATAACACCAATTATTTTTAAATGATTAAAAATACTTTTTTACAAGTTATAAATGATCCATCTGTTGTGATAGTTCTATGCTGTTATTGTGATGGGTGGTAATGACATGGGCTTACAAAAATCACCTTTTTGTTTCAAAAAATTCCAAATGAGTTTGTTAGAGGAAAACAGCTAAAAATGTTTTTTCTGTTCCCTAATCCTAAAATAGTATTTAAGTACATCTCCAACTGTTTTTACATTTAAAATTTTCAGATTTGTTTGCGAGAGTTATAATAATGATCACAATATGATATATGCTTATAATTAAATAATAAATCATACTACATTATTATGCTAAACTGTCATCTAGGCAGTGTTTGTTGTCTTCTATATTCAAATCTAAATCTTACAGATAATATGAATTCTTTAGAGGGGTTTGTCATTAGGTGCATTTTGTTAATATTGTCTGTAGGGGGCTCTGCATCTGTTAACCACTTCATACACTCACTTTATTAGGTACACCTTTTCAACTGCTTGTTAACGCAAATATTTAATCAGCCAATCACATGGCAACAACTCAATGCATTTAGGCATGCAGAAATGGTCAAGACAGTCTACTGAAGTTCAAACCGACCATCAGAATGGGGAAGAAAGGTGATTTAAAGGGATAGTTCACCCAAAAAGTGAAAATTCTGTCAATAATTAGTCACCCTCATGTCTTTCCAAACCCATAAGACCTTCGTTCATCTTCAGAACACAAATTTAAAACACTAATATTTTTGATGAAATGTGAGAGCTCTCAGACGCTGCATAGACAGCAACGCAACTGTAATGTTCCCAGGTCCAGAAACGTAGCAAGGACATCGGTAAAACAGTCCATGTGACATCAGTGGCTCAACTTCAGTTTTGCAAAGCTACGAGAATACTTTTTGAGTGCAAAGAAAACAAAAATAACATAATTTATTCAACTATTCTTCTCCGACCAGTTAAGACTTCCTCCATTTTAGAGTATCACAACACATACGCACACTTTCCCCTAATGCCGAATTCACACTGCACGATTTTCAAAGTCGTCAGGTCACCATGGTTTTCACACTGCACGACTATCTGAAGCTATCTGAAGTAGCATTCAGTCGCTGCTGTGTTCACATTGCACGATGGATCGGCGACAGGAGGTTACACACTGCATGACTTTACAATAGGAAGAATCGCCGACAGCTCTGTCTGGTCCGCAAACTATATTTCACAACAAAACGCACGCAAGAAGTGATAAGGAAATAACGTGAGAACCCGCGTGCGTCAGACCGCAATTTCGGGCATTTGTCGGCGATTTCACAAAACCTGTCAGCGAGTGAAAAATCGGGCTAAAATTGTGCAGTGTAAACTCGGCATAAAGCCTGGCTCACACTATAGGATTTTTAGCCCGATTTAGCTCCGATTCTCAGGAGGGGGAAATCTTGTAGAGCCCCTCAATCGATCCCGATGTTCGGCGCAGATTATCTGGTAATGTGAGGCATTCACCGATCGAATCTTGCACCTCCCGATCTGCTCACACACAAATCGGGGCCGCCCCGTTCATATCAAACATGTTTGATATTTAGGATTTAAATCGGGATGATGACGGCTATATGATTATGTCAGTACTTTCACAATAGCCAATGCGGGACCGCAAAACAGCTGCTGTATGGCCCCGTTGGATAGTGGAGATGGAGGAAACTGCTTCTTGACGTTTTATAGAAACACGACTGTCTGTATAATGTGTGGAAACCGCATCACAACTGTAAGGAAAAGGAGAAGCACTGGAGGGAAATCGCCTCAGTTTTGAATGTACCGGGTGAGTGTAGCTGATTATGTCGATTATGCTCTTGGGTACTCTGCAAAATGGCGGAAGACGTAACTCGGGGGGAAAAAAATTGTTAAATAAATTGTTATTTTTGTTTTCTTTGCGCTCAAAAAGTATTCTCGTAGCTTCGCAAAACTGAAGTTGAGCCACTGATATCACATGGACTATTTTACCGATGTCCTTGCTACGTTTCTGGACCTGGGAACATTACAGTTGCTGTCTATGCAGGGTCTGAGAGCTCTCACATTTCATCAAAAATATCTTTATTTGTGTTCTGAAGATGAACGAAGGTCTTATGGGTTTGGAATGACATAAGGGTGAGTAGTTAATGACATTTCATTTTGGGGTGAACTAACCCTTTAAGTGACTTGGAATGTGGCATGCTTGTTGGTGCCGGATAGGCTCATTCGAGTATTTCAGAAACTGCTGATCTACTAGGATTTTCACACACACAACCATCTCTAGGGTTTACAGAGAATGGTCTGAAAAAAAAAATCAAGTGAGTGGCAGTTCTCTGGGCAAAAATGCCTTGTTGATGCCAGAGGTCAGAGAATGACGAGACTGGTTCGAGCTGAGAAAAAGGCAACATAATTAAAATAGCCACTCGTTAAAACCAAGGTATTCATAACAGCATCTCTGAATGAACATCGTAGCCCATAGTGTCCATCTTATGATGGCTACTTCCAGCATGATAACATACCATGTCACAAAGCTCAAATCATCTCAAACTGTTTTCTTGACCATGGCAAAGAGTTCACTATACTCAAATGGCCTCCACAGTCACCAGATCTCAATAGAGCACCTTTGGGATGTTGTGGAACGACGGATTAACATCATGGGTGTGTAGCTGACGGATCTGCAGCAAGTATGTGATGCTGTCAAATGAGTATGGACTAAAATCTGTTAGGAATGTTTCCAGCACCTTGTTGAATCTATGTCATGCAGAATTATGGCAGTTCTGAAGGCAAAAGTGGGTCAAGGTGTACCTACTAAAGCGGCTGATGAGTGTATGTTGACCTCTCATACTTTCTTTAGGTGAAGAGTTTATTTATAACCCCCTATTACATTGACATGACATCTGTCAATCAGTGTAATATGTACTTTTCAAAAGTGAATCATGCTCCGTGATGACATCAGTTATCATACGTTTAAAGCATGGATGACCGTTTTCATGTCTTCTGCAGGACAAAAGGCTAGTTTGACTAAGCGAGACAGGAGTGACATGCCAGTCACTTCCCAGTGTCTAGTGAGCAGGAAACTGTTGAAGTCAGCTGATTTCCACCTAGTGAGTTACACACACTCAAATTTTATGTGCCGATTGTCAAGCACTCGCATGCAGAGTTCTCCTCGCTCTCTTTAATATACTGTCACTAGACTGCAGGTGATGACAGTGGGCTCTGTCATTCTCTCTCCTCCAGTGGGACTGAAATCTGAAAAGGCCTCACCGCCATGATAAATGTACACCACTGTAAAAAGTGGTGAATTTTTTTTTTTAAGAAGTCTCTTATGTTCACCAAGGTTTCATTTATTACATTAAAAATGCTTAAAAGTAATTATATTGTAAAATATTGTTACAACTTAAATAGCTGGCTAATTTAGTCCTGTGATGGTGAGGCTCCAGGCTTATTATTCTAATATGCTGATTTAAACCTTTTCATTATTATCAATGTTTGAAGCAATTGTGTTGCCCCATGTTTTTGTGGGAAAAACATATTTCAGGATTCTTTGATGAACAGAAAAATCAAAAGCATTTATTTATTTTTTACTAACCGCAGACTTTTGAACAGTAGTGTATCTGTTCATCTGCCTATTTTTATGTTAAAAATGAAAAATGTATACACGGTAACCAACATGCAAATTTGACAGGAAGGAAAATCATTTATAGTCACTTTCTTCTACTCTATCCATGTTTCTTCTGTAAGTATCCGTTAAACCTATTTTCCTGTTTTTGTTTCTAACTCCTCTGTTCTCCTCTTATAATTGTATATCTCTTCTCGTGCACTATTTTTTGTGTCCAAATTTTGCATTCACAGTTCTTTATGTTACAACCTCCATCTAATCCCTTCCCTCCTCACCATTTTTCTTCCTGCCTCTGTCCTCCCGTTCTGCTATCCTTCTCTTCGCTTAGTAACCCCCCCCCCCCCCCC